TATTTGGTTTATTCACTAAGATATCTCTGTATATCTGTAATTATATTTTACTTTGTGATGTTTTTAATGAGTTACATTAATTGAGTAGGACTTCATTATTGTCATTTGGATTCATCAGAATTAATTTGATAGAGTTCTGCTGTCTAACTTTTTTTTTTAATTACACCTAAGAATTATTATATTCGCTCACCCTGGGATGCTGCCGTTAGCGAGTGACGGATGGCTCCGATAAATCGATAATGTTTTGCGTTAAAGACATATTGTCTAGTTCCTGTAAGTAGGTAACATATCGTTTTCATCCGATTTATTTTGCTTTTGAAACAAAGGCATAGGTAACTAAAACAAATAAATGAAGTTTAAGCACTAAACATTGCCTGGCATTACCATACCAATAAAAGTTATCCGAGATTAATTTAGGTACAATGCTGATTTTAAATCCTAGAGTTAAATAATTTATATTCCAGAGGGATACCCGATAATCAATCGCTATGAATATATAATAACGAAATCGATACTCGCGGCTAAAATGTTATATTTTATTACCTCTAATTAGCTGAAATAAAATATTTATAAAAATACCTACTAGTAAGTAGTACCGAACTATTAATCAATAACAAGGATTATCTCAGGAATCCCTATTAACATTGAGTACCTACTTTTATTCCAGAAATTAAGATTCGGCAAGTAGGTATCGCTCTTCTTTGAGTGTCCAATCCAAAATCCATCCAGCCGAGGGTTAACTTAAGGGCCTTATTATATCCAATAAAATTGATAGCACCATTCTGCCTTTCAATATAGTTGAACCATATCGGACGACGGTTATGAAACCGTCGTTTAAACTGGGACTGGACTGTTTTGCTTTACGCAGCTCTCGTGTTCGATGCCCGCTACCTGGGTGTACGCGTACAATGTTTTTTTAGGAGCAGGTAGACGAACCCAAGGCTGCGAATGTATCCGTGAACTCGAAATGTGAACAAAGGGCGGTATGCGAATAATTTGTCCTTATTACCATCTCTGGTCGGCGCGGCCGACGTGCAAGTTCACCTTGAGAAATGAACGGGTTCCTTAATATCCCCTACAAACAAGCACCCGCCCCGTGGCGCTGCACAGCCCAAATATGAACGAGGGAGGGTGGTTTATTACATTTTGAAAAACATCAGGGATATAAGCGAACGTCAGACATCTCCGGCAAGATTGAAATTCTATTATGATAAAATACTGACGGCGTTGAAGTTTTATTACTTATTTGTTCTGTGATGGATTAAGTAAGCTGTTTAGCTGTATACTCCACTAAATTATTATTTTCTTTGTTTACTTTAATAAGTTACCTATAATAGTAGGTATGATTAATGCTTTGTGCTAAAATGAAATGATAATAATTACATAACTTAGTAGAAGACCTGTGCCTCTACCCAATCAAAGCTAGTTGATTGACTACTCAATAACTATAGATGTAAAACATTTCTGGTTGCAATGAACTGTTTACAACTGTACAGAAATTAGTACAATTCCTGAGTGTCATCAACTTTTCAACTGGGCAATGTCTACCCACACTCAGTTCGCAAGGTCGGTATGAGTCTTTTACGGTCCAAAAACACGCGGCCGGAACGCGGCAAAGGACTGTAAGGTATGATAAGAAATATGGAATATTATAAGTTATTACATCTTTAGCCAAAGATCTTGCTTATCATGAAAGACACATTTTGAAGGGATGCATCTTAATCTTAAACAGTTTTAGACTAATTATTAATCTATACTAATATAAATGCGAAAGTAACTCTGTCTGTCTGTGTCTTGCTTTCACGCCTAAACCACTGAACAGATTTTGATGAAATTTGGTATAAAGATAGTTTGAATCCCGGGAAAGGACATAAGATAGTTTTTATCCCGGTTTTTGAAACAGGAACGCGCGCAATAAAGTTTTTCTGTGACAGACAAAATTCCACGCGGGCGAAGCCGCGGGCGGAAAGCTAGTTAATAATAATTAATGATATTGAGACATTGCAAAAACCATGTCCTGAATCTGAGAACAACTTTTATCTAATCTGTGCCGAAGACCATGTCCTGAATCTGAGAACAACTTTTATCTAATCTGTGCCGAAGACCAATTCTTTGGTATTATGTACCTACAGTCACGGAATGAAAAGGTTCGTCAGTTTTTAATTTGATTCCTTCAACGAATCGCGAGCACATATTATAGCCTGACCAGGAACATAAAAACCCTGGCATAGAGGCGCTTCAATTGCATTTGATAGTGCAACACTGAGTACAGTCGTACATGTGTTAAATTAATAGGCAAAATTTATGTATCAGGATTCAGGATTACGGGCTAATTTGATATTTTCATAAATGAACGAAAAATATTATTAAAGGTAACCTGGTTTAAATAAATTAAATGAAACCATCAATCGAGCTAGTAGGATTTATTTTATTATTCATCAATAATCAAATTCAGAACTTTAATATTCAACTGCAATGTCTGCTCATGAACGCTTCAAACTCGGTACTTCTTTCCCAATTCCATAAAATTCAAAACTTAGAAATTAACAAAATACTTTAAAATGGATAGTTGAAACAGACTACAGCTAATTTTCATAGTGGACTGTACTATACGATAAACATGTCAGTCAATTTGACAACCTTTGTCGGAAACATTATTCAATGAAAATATTGTCCGAACCCTTAGTATTTCTCTTCGACAAATACATTAACACACCGTGAACCACTTTTCTTTCACGACTATAAAAATATTTTAGCAATTTAATTCACAAAATCAATTGCACACATTTAAAATAAAGTTTGTTTACACTTTGACAACAATAGACTGACATGCAAGGTGACATGTCAATGAAGTTTTCAGTTACTGTTGCCATTAAAAGAAATTAGTACCATTAGTTTTCCGCAACATGGCGAGGGTTTTTATGTTCCTGGTCAGGCTATACCTTTTGAAACTATGTTACAGAATAATCTCGAGTTAGAGAAAATAATCTTTAACTGTTCGTCAGTAAAGTTCAAAATCATTCAGATCAAAGTTGTTTGACGATTTATCTTGTCAAGAAGATTATTATGATTGATAAACTAAAACCTTCTTATTGGTTCAACCTGCCATTATTATTTCTCTTAAATAAAAAAACCCATTGTCAATTGGTCAATGTCATCATTGCATTGCACTGATGGGATAGAAAAATAAACGAGCAAAACCTTATTCGTTAGCAAACGTCATATTTATTTAAATGTTAGCAGCACTGTTTCTTGCACTGTTATGTTGGCAGGTTTGACTCTTACAGTACCTAGTGCAAGCAAAAACCGACACTAAGGTGACGAACCTTTTCATTCCGCGACTGTACAAACACAAAATAACAATTACAAAGTAACAATTATTATTTAAATAAAAAAAAAATAAAGCAAAGAAACAATTATTGAAATAAATTAAAAAATTACAATAATTTGTTATTAACCGCTTGAGTCCCAGACGGCATTAATTAATGTCATAACAATTGATTATCTATTGTGTCTAGATTTGCGGGCCTTGAAGGATTAAAAAAAAATAAAGTTCCCATTATTGTGTGGAAATGGATTAACTACTCTCCATTATTTTGTTATAATAAGCGAAGTGATATTACAATACTTTAAATGTTCATTACAAAACTTTTTCAGTATGGTATAATGTATGTACCTAATGTTATTGATATTAATTAGTTAATTTCATAAATCATAATATTCTTTCTTAACGAAATGATAAATATTCGTGACAATTTGAAAATCCTTGCCGAACTAGTTTATTACTCCACTGTTTCCAGTAGACAAACCGATCGAAATAAAATGTTTTTGAAAACATACATTATTATTTTGAAATGAGTATTAGTGCTATTTAAATGGAGTAGGTACAGGTACTGAATTTATCTAAGACGAATGACAATGATAAAATATGACTGGTGAAATAATTGGTATGATTGATAATAGAAATAGATAATTATTTGTCTCAGCTCATAAATAATGTGAGTAACTAAAGTTTGAAGGTAAAGTTAAAGAAGATAATATTTCAGAATGTAGGTAAAGGTTAAAACTATTCTCACATATTATTTGACACTATTTAACACGTTATGAGATTTGTTGATGTTTTATAAAATTTATAAATTTATGTACTTGCAACATAAAACTTAAAGCATTGATTTAAAATATCATGATTTACAACAATAGCAATTATAATAATGAAGCTTCCCTGTGCACTACAGTTTCCCTTAGCACTGATAGTTTAAATCTGCAGAACTTATACCTACTTCATTGAATTAAAACCATTATTATGAATAAATCAGAAGTGAATTTGCATTATTGAATTTATATCAATATGGACACATAGGTTACTAGTCAATATCTATATATATAAAAGAAAGTCGTGTTAGTTACTCCACTTATAACTCAAGAACGGCTGATCCGATTTAGCTGAAAATTGTCAGGGAGGTAGTTTAGAGTCAGGAGAAGGACATAGGATACTTTTTATCCCGTTCGAAATTAAAAAATAAGTCTGCTTATGTATTGCCATTAAGGCGGAACAAAGTTCGCCGGGTCAGCTAGTAGTAAATAAAGCTGATTGGCTTGTTTTGACACCATTTACATTGACTTTTGTTTAAATTAGTAAATGATGAATGTGAATCACAGTATTCACACAGTTGCATGGTGATTTTAATCTGTGTTGTAGGTAACCCTGACAACCTCCTATAGTAGTGGCTGTCATTTGGATTTGGTACCTACTTTGTTTTCACTGTTCAATCGTCAAAAGTACAATATAAACTGAAGCTGAATATAATAACTCATGCAATGGTAAATTGTATTACAGGAGAATTAGGCGTAATAATAACGCCATGCGCCATTAATTTATTGTTCTCTGTTTCAAATGAGGAGTACAGGGTTATCTCTTGACATGTTGTCATGTCTGACTCTAAATATAAATTATTTACCATTACAAGACTTTGAGAGATAATAAGCGTATTTCTACTTACAGGATAATACATCCCCTGCGGCGGCAAAAAAAAGGCCCCTGATCCCCACAGCTTGCCGTTTGTATTTACTTTGTGTTGCACAAAAATACACTCCACGTACGCCCCTTGTTTGGGCGTTTTAACTTTCACAGCACTAACTTACTAAGTCGAGATAATCATGAGTGTTTAATGGTAATTACAATGACAATACTAAAAATAATCAAGATTGTAACTTTTAGGTTATGTAGTTGTAGCGCGGAGGAACGCGCTGTAGCACTGAAAGCGGTTGATGTCGATGTGCAACAACGAGCACGCGTGGCTACTCAACGAGTCGTTCGTGCAAATCGCTGCCTGTGTGACAAAGATAGATGATACTACTGAACGCGAGTCGGTCATTGAATAACGATGTGAGATATTTCTGTTTCACTCTCGCACATTACGAATAGCGACGGAAAGGCACGACATAGTCACACACACATTGATAAAAGCGTCAACCACGATGAATGTTTTCAACTTTTTATTAATCCTATTTTTTTCTAAATTTAATGCAGTGTCAATGAGACATGACTTTTATGGTACTTATTAATGTTGTTCAATAAGTATGTATATTAAAAATAACAATAAACTTTGTTTTTATCACTGAACAGTTTATTAATAAAAACATAAACAAAAAGCTTTATCGGCACACACAATTAACACACGTCAATTTAATATTTTGTCATTAGCATTATAGTCATAGTTAGTCCGGTAATGATTTACTCACAGTGCACGGATTTACTATATGATAACTTCAATGATAAGATAATTAAGCTAAATATTGTCTATTTTTTGCTACAATTTATTATTATTACCACACTGAATGAGACCATTAACTTGTCAAAATTCTATGTTGAACGGAACGGTAATAGAAAGAGAGAAGCTTCGTAGCGGTAGCGTCTTGTCATCTTGTGTTCTCTGTTCTCCCTTTGTTGTCTCTTTCATATTGCCGAGAATGGTTCGGATCAATGAATCGTTCCCGCCCGGGCCCCCCGATCCCAGCGTCATCCCAACAACCTCCGCGATCCGCGTTCCCTCTAAATTCGCATCTCCCTACCTACTCCCGTCCGTCGCACCTCGCGCGGGGAAGGAGGACACTGCTTTTGTATTTTTTTCTATTCATTTGTTAACTACACCACTAGCCGCTAGCCATAGCACAAAACCCAAACACGAACCGACCCAAAATGCTTGTTTTTTATTTTTTACTTACGGTTTTACATTAAACAATTTTGAAAGTTCAGTTAAGTAGGAATTCGATAAAACGTGAAATAGAAAAAAAGAAGGCCTCATCATTAAGCTATTTAATACTATACTGCATTAATATCTACCTAGGTACCCGCGCAATTTTTTTATTGTGTAAGTCCTACCTTCCTATGTTTATCAAGGTACCTACCTAATATTGCCAATATGCAATTAACTTTAACGGTAATTATTAATTATATTACCAACTGATAGATGATGTTTGTTAAATAAATCTTGATTAAATGAAACAATGAGTTTTACTGCATAAACACCTAACCTAACCTATCGTACCATTGATCGTACCTACTAGGCGATCTTTTGATCGACTTTAATTAAAGTTTTTCATGAAAGTACTCCCACAAAAATAGCCTTTGTAGTGGGCAGGTAGGTACTTATTATTTTCGAAAATTTACCTTACCTCTTCGATTAAGTAAGATAAACTGTACCCGGAGCACAAATAAAAATCGTTCTCGTAAGTATGTAGTAATAATTTTTTTACGAAAAACAAAACAGCGGTAGCGTTCTGTTGCTACCGAATAGGTAAGTATAAGCACGATACCTTTATATTGTTATGATTACGAGAGTTTGTGCTTAGGGTACAGATTAGACAGGTTCTAACATTATAATATTTGCATATTTTTTAAGTACATAACATTGATAATATTATTAGATTAAGTAACTTAGTACCTACTTGTAAAAGAGGAAAGATCTGTATTTTTGTAATGATTAAACTATAAAACTTCTGGACCGATTTTAAAAAATCCTTAAGGCACCCGAAATTCACGCGGGAATATTACTTTCTTGATTAAACTTGAGAATACTTGAACGCCTACCTGTACATACCTTTTTTAATTACTAAAAATCGCACACATATCGCTCAATCATTGCCAATACCAAAATACAGAGTATCATCATGTCATGATCATTTAGTCAAAAGAGGAAATGTGTATCCACATTATTCGTTTACAGATGGCCTTTTTATACGTCGCAGCTGTTAGAATACCCCAATAAAACCTTGTGTGAAACACGCTTTGTATCCTTTCTCATTCAGAGTTCTACACAAACCATTCGTCTTGATAAAATAAGGGTACCTACCTAAATAGTTCGATGTTGGTACCTATATTACTTTTGTAAAGTAAGAATAAAATAGGGGACAGGGGTTGGTACTGGTACGCACGTTAAAAATATACGCGCTCGGTAGATAGCTTTATTATGTGGTAGGTTCTGTGTAAATAATTATATCTGTGTGTAGTGTACCTACTTATGACTAGAATTAGATAGGTAGACACGTAGCACGTAGGTACAATGTTAATTAATTCAAAATGATGTCCATCAAAATTTTACACACGTGTCTCGCTAATTCTCCGTCATCCTCATGGACATTTGGTTTTTCTATGTCATGGATTACTTACCTTTACAATTTTTGTACCACTCGGTTTATCTACCTGTAGGAGGTAGGCAGGTAGTTTTTGGCAGTTCCGTGCCCAAAAAGTAGGTAGGTACCAACGAAACTCTTATATAGTACATTATTACATGCTCTAATAAGCAAAAATGTATCTAAGGTAATTGATATTATTTTAAATATTATTATGTATCGTTTTGCTTAGAATAATAATGACTAAAAATAATAAAAACTAAAAAATATTTATAGAAAAAATCTATCAAATATAATATCTTAGTGACATCTATTATGAACCTTGTAATGTTTCGTCTTTTGCACCCACCATTACTACATGCAAGTTCTTAAAACGCAGTTGAAAAGCTCTCCGCTAGATGTCGGTAAAAGTTCATTGTAATGAATACAATACAACTCTACTGAGTTAGAGCTTGTTCCTAAAAAGACATCCCGTTTTTTGCAGGACCCCGTTTAGTAGTATACGTGTTTTAATATACTTAACGCTTACACGAATATCAATATCAAAACCGATCCGTTCGAATTTGTAATTCCAATTTTAAACTCACTTTCAAGTTCACATGTCAGTCCCAGTTTATCCTCTAAAGGTAAGTAATTACATAAAAACACTGATTTAACTTACGAAGATACAATAACAATGAACCGTATTTTATTTGCGAGACACTTTCGGTCTATTACTAAACTTGTAATAGACCGAAATCCAGTCAGGCGAAATTGCGAGAAGCTACGAGTAATTTTAGATGTAGGCTACTCAAATAGGTATTACATAAGTTAGGTGCACTAACTCAACTTTTGGTAACTTAAAATACTTAAGTTAATGCTCTTTTAACCTCATTAAATCTTCAGCTATAACCGAGGACAGAAGCCATAGTTAAGCTCAAGTTGACAAGTCAGCCACAGAACTTAATACAGATAGGTACCTACTTACTAACTTACTTCTCCACAAAACAAGCCACAGTCCCACTCAAAGTGTATCGATGTTTATAAGTTGCTTATAAACTCAAGTTAGTGTTGTTTGAATACATTCATACTTTGCTTGTACGAGATACTTAGGACTGTGATAGCTCTAGTATAGACGTGCTATTAATTATTGCTCTACAATGCCCGCATTTGTGTTTTAACATCCTTTGATCATTTATTTGCCTATTTATAACGTTTCAATTGATACAAAATTAATATTTCCATTATGATCATAACTAGAATCCCAACTAATATTATAAATGCGAAACACAGATAATGCGAAAGTAACTCTGTCTGTCTGTCTGTCTGTCTGTCTGTTACGCTTTCCCGCTTAACCGATTTTGATGAAATTTGGCATAGAGATAGTTTGAGTCCCGGGAAAGAACATAGGATAGTTTTTATCCCGGTTTTTGAAACAGGGACGCGCGCGATAAAGTTTTTCTGTGACAGACAAAATTCCACGCGGGGAAGCCGCGGGCGGAAAGCTAGTAACATATAAAATGTTGATCAATAAAATTGAAGGCCACAAGTACAAGCTAGTATTATATTATCTGTGGTACAAGTATTACTTTAAGATTTTGTTTTGTTTTCACATCTTCAAATAATGTTTTAGTTATTTATTGTATCGACTGAAGTAAATACAAATAAAATGGTCTCTCTTACTTCGTAAAAGAGGCTTTCTATAAACACTTAAACCCTTTGTTGTTTTACAACTAACTAGATACCAGTTCCAAGAAAACGCTTATAAAGGTAATAGAAATGCTCTTAAATAGTCAAGGAGATTGAGATGTTAGCTAGACAGACACCTACGTGTACCTATATTTATAAAAGTAAGTAGGCTGCGTAGATTGAAATTTGAGTCTTCGCTTTGTTAGGTATGAGGAATATTGGAATGAATAATGTTACGCAAATAAGTAAGTATAATTTAAAATGTTAATACCTCTTAGCGTAAGCGAATTTTTCGGCAATATATTTTCATAAACCTATATATATAAACGCCTAAATAAATTAAACTGATTTCTTATCCTAATGAACTAGCTCTAGAAAATATTTTTTAATTAAATACAGAAAAGTATTTTTTTAAATAACTTACCCAAATACAAGTGTTAATGTTTTCCCAGTCATTGTACCACTCCATTAACAAGAGATATCGAATATTTAACATTTTCACAACTAACCTAATTGAAAAATTGAATTAAATTATTTTTACAAGCTTTGTCAAAGTCTCGTAAAAGTTCAACGTTCAAAGTTCTGGTACTACTGTAAGTTTGCGTACCGCTACGGGTTCTTAATTTAAAATTACCAATAAAGACTCGTTTTATTTTCATTGTTAAGTCGTTTCATTTCTTTTAATAAATGGAAAGCTTAAATTAATTAGTCTTTAAATGAAAATTAAATATTTTAGGTTAATAAAAATATAGATATTTATATGTATCTAATTAGAGCCTGTGAAAATATTTTTTTGATAATGCTTTTTAATCTAGAAAGCTCTGGTAGGTAACTTTTACCTAGGTAGTCGAGTTTTGTTTTATGCTACTAACTAGATCTCTTTTTGCAAAGTGTGATGCGGGAGATATCTACTTCAGCTACAATTTGAGTCTATCCCGAGTAGACTATTGGTCCATTTTACAAAGATACAACTAGACCAAAGGGCACAAGCAATTTATGGACTTTTTCGCACAACCTACCAAAGGAAGCGTTTTTCAGGAGGATTGTATTCTGTTCATGTACGAGTATCTTAAATAAATAAATGAAGAATTATTCGTAATTAATCTTAATTTTACAGTTAAAGTAATTTGTCATAAATAAGTACCTAGTTAAATATG